ATTTTAAAATTCACAAAAAAAAATAAAATAGGCTAAAATAATTAATAAGATAAAATATCACATTAAATTCATAATTATTTTACTTTTTCTCTCATAAACATCACATCTAACCATAAAAAAATTTAATTATTTTTTCAAACATAAAAATTTTAACCTATTAAAATAATTAAAAATTAAAATAACTTACAAAAAGTACGAAAACATGTTTGGTTTGGTTTTTTTTAAAAGATGTTTTGAAAAATTATTTTGAGATAAAGTTTTGGAAAAAGTGATTGATTTGATGTGTGTGAGAGAGAGATTTGTTTGGAAAACTTGTTTGGTTTACAAGTTTTGAGAAATTTTTTTGAGAAAATTTGTTTGATTTAATTATTTTTGAAAACTTATTTGTAGAGAAAATTTCCCAAATTTTTTTCAGAAAATCAAACCAAACGAGCCCAACAACTTCCCAAACGAAACCAACGGTGATTAAATGAAGCGTATGCTTTGAAGTTTCTCTCCCTTTGCCAGAGCTGACTTTGACATTGATTCCTGCAATACTTTTCATGCCAAGTACTTTTGCATTTATGTGTCTACAGTGGCCGACCAGATTAGTACTCGAAGTTAATTGTAAAACTTTGTATGAAATATTTTTATAATAATTTATTTAAACCCAAAGAATTGTGATATTGTGGTAAGGTCTTGAAATTTAAATCTCAATGTCATAAGTTTAATTTTTTCTTTGGGCCAATCTCTTGGGCGAAGTACTGTTCCTTAGGAGGTTGGATCTCAAAAATACCTAATCAGCTACTTGGTGTGGGTTTGATACTCCCTCGCTGTGCGAGTCCTGACTTAATCGAAACTTACCTTAAGAGGTCGGGACAAGCTTTCAGGTTATAGTAATCGAAGCTGACCTCAAGGATGCCTAATCAGCTACTTGGTGTGGGTTTGATGCTCCCCGCTGTGCGAGTCCTGACTTAATCGAAACTACTTGGTGTGGGTTTGATGTTCCCCCGCTGTGCGAGTCCTGACTTAATCGAAGCTTGCCTTAGGAGGTCGGGACAAGCTTCCAGGTTATAGTCTCTTACTCGAAACGGACAACAGGACACCCTGGTGATCTCCTTATGGGGCGGCCTTAGACCTGCGAGAGAGTGGAAGGATTTCCCTGTAACCAAAAAAAAAAAAAAAAAAAATTTATTTAATTTTTTATATTTAATATTAATTTAAAAATTAATAAATATCTCTACTAATTTAATTTCTTAACTCGCCACGTAATGTCTCCACAACTGCCCTATCAAAAGCTCATTTTATAGAGACACTTAACATAAATACACATAAAAAATATAATTTTTGTGAAAAAAATCTTTTAAAAATTCACTAAATACCAAAAATACAAAAAATAAAATAAAATAAGAATTCAGTATATTTTTTTTGTATTCTTATGTATTTATTAATTTTTAAAATATTTTTTCACAATTTTTTACCTTTTTAGATATATCTAAATAAGGTGCATCTAAAAAAGTTAAAAAAAAAATATGTTTAAAATTTTAAAAATATTCACTAAAAATAAAAAATATATGAAAAATAAAAAACTCAATTTTCAAAAAGTTTAATCTAGAAAATTGAAACCAAAAACATTGATTGGTGCGTTTTTATAATTTGGGGGGGTTGTTTGTACTTTTTTATAGTTTAGAGAGTTAAAATAATACTTTTTAATAGTTCATAAGATCTATTTATATGTTTTTATAATTTAGGAAATCAAAATGATATTTTTCAATAATTTAAAAACTCGTCATATAAATAACCCTTCACTAATTCAAAGTCAAAGTTACAGTTTGTCACTTCCTCGCACGCTCTATTTTTATTTTTTTTTATTTTTTTTACCATTTATCTATTGTGCTTGCATATGAGCCACCCAATACCCCTTTGACCCCCCTCTCTCTCATTGGTTACCTTTTCTTTTTCTTTTTCTTTTTCTTTTTTTTCCTGCTCCTCCAATCACCCCTGCCACGTGGCAAAGGGGGTGAGGGGGTGACCCCCAAAAGGGGGTCCCAAACATTATTCATATATAAATTACTAGAGTGTTAGTTATATTTGCATGTGGAATTCACCATTTATATGTTGTTTTACTATTGATTGGTGATATCACATGTCAATAATGACGTAATATTATTATTATATGAAATTTTTATTCAAATTTTGTAAAAATTTGATTTATCGTACCATTATATAATTTATTTTACGACTTAAATATATGACTTTTTTAAATTATCCATTATACACTAGTTATACGCAATACTTTCTTTTCAATTTTACTCAAAATTAATTATAAAATTTTATGTAAAATATTTTTGTAACAATTTATTTAATTTTTTATACTTAATATTAATTCAAAAATTAATAAATACCCTTTAATTTCCTGACTCCCCACGTTATGTCTCCACAACTGCCCCCATCAAAAGCACATTTCAACACTGTTTTTTGCTTTAAAAACTAACATTGCTTGCTCGAAGGACTCTAGCAATAATGGGTAATTCAAGTTTGGTTGTCTTTCTTTCTTGTATACTCATAAGCCTTCTTAGCCTAAAGACAGCCGCGATGTGTTATAACACAGGCAACTTCACCACTAACAGCACATATGCCAAAAACCGCGACATCGCTCTATCTTCCCTTGCCTCAAATGTCTCCGCCAATGGTGGGTATTATGCTACCTCCATCGGGCAAGGCTCCGACACAGTTTTTGCTGTCGGAATTTGCAGAGGTGACCTTTCCAACTATAGGTGTTTCGACTGTATCAATTATACAAGTCAGGTTATTATCAACGAGTGCCCGAACCAGAAAGAAGCGATTAGTTGGGGAAACCCAGCTCTCTGTACCGTGCGGTACTCATACAAGTCCTTTTTCAGGGTTATGGATACTGCTCCAGCTATCTGTGTGATGATTACAAATAACATCACCAACAATGTTGATGAGTTCGATCAGGCCATGGGTACTTTGGTTGATAGCCTTATATTCAGGGCTGCCATGAGTGCTTCAACTTCTTCTGGATCTTCTCTTCTCAAGTTTGTAACTGGTAAAGAAAACTTTACAACAGATCAGGATATATATGCTCTGATGCAGTGTACCCCTGACCTATCATCAGCTGATTGTTCAAATTGTCTAAGAGGAGCAGTGGATATATATCGAAGTATTTGTTATAGGAAGATACAAGCAAATGTTTTGGCACCAAGTTGTGTATTTCATTATGAATTGAACCAATTCTATGAATATACAGCTGATGCTTCACCGCCACCACCTCCACCACCTCCACCACCTCCACCTGTAGTTACTTTGGCTCCTCCCCCGTCAGTAAACACTACAACCAAAGCAGGTACATCCTAACGTCCACCACTTCCCTTTTTATTTTTTTATCTGCAAAAAAGATTATTTATTGAGAAATCAACAAGTACAACATCAGTACAAAATTCATTACAACAATAACTAGGTTGGCAAATGAATCCCAACAAATCAAATCGAGTCCAGATCCTCTCCAGCCCTCCCTCCGGTCAACGGCCAAGATTTGGCCATGTCACCCCTAACAAAAGCTACGGCTCAGATTAGCTAACCAAAAATTAAAAAAAAAAAAAAAATTGAACCGAATTCAGCACAGCAAAACAGAGGGTCTCTCCCTCTCTTCCTCTGTCTGTCTCCTTGATCTAGTAAGAGAGTTGTATCCAATTTTGTGATATTTTTTGTATTTGGACGCTTTTTGTGTGTCATTTACAACTTTTTGTGTTCTTCCTTCTTGCTTGAGAATGCGGATTTACGGAATTTGGGATTTTGACTTCAAAGTTGGAGAAATTTCAGTTATCCATCTAAGTGACAACTTGAAAACTCTGTCTCTCTCTCTCTTCCTCTGTCTGTCTCCTTCTCCCTCAGCACATCGTCCTTACTCTGAATATTTCAGCCGCGACCCAGAGCTCTGGCAACGACGAACCAGAGCCCTGTCTTGTTGCTGTTTTTTGGTCATTTTTTGTGCTGAAATTAATGCTGTTTGTTGCTGCTGAAAATGCTGCTGTTTTGGTGCTATTTTGCTGCTGATTTGCTGTTATTTTGTGCTGAAAGTGCTGCTGAGTTGGTGCTGTTTTGCTGCTGTTTTTTTGTCATTTTTTGTGCTGAAATTACTGCTATTTGTTGCTGCTGATATTACCGTAGTCGGTGGACGGTAGTCGCCGGACAACCCTCCCTTTCCCTCCCTCTTTTTTTGTTTGTTCTATCACGTGGAAACAGAGCCTCTGTTTTGCCTCTGTTTTGCTGTGCCGAATTCGGCTCAATTTTTATTTTTATTTTTATTTTTGTTAGCTAATCTGAGCCGTAGCTTTTGTTAGGGGTGACGTGGCCAAATCCTGGCCGTTGACGGGAGGGAGGGCCGGAGAGGATCTGGATTCCATGAGTTCATCTCTTCCTAAGGGGTAGTTAGATTAGGAGAAAGTACTTGGTAGTGCTTTGCAAAGGATCACCCTAGGAAGGGCTTCCCAAATCAATTTTGGTACATAACAACTTGATGAGTTTAATTTTGTAGCATAAAATTTATGGTCAGAACTCAGAAGACTCAAGTTGGGAGGACATCCCAATTGAAAGGTTTTGTTGGGTTTAACGGACCTCACCATATGCCTCCACTCAATAGTCCGAACCATTCATCTTGTAAGGCATTTTGAATAGATCGATTTATATAAAAAATTAAGTTGCTCGGACGATACTAATAACATAATTATATCAAATTTGCCTTCGAAAGAAATATATATCAAGTATGATTTTAAAAATAGACGGTATATATATATATAGTTTTTAAAGCCAAATTTAATATGATCATATAATTACAGTTATCCAACCAATCAAATTGTTTATGTAATTGATATATTGGATAGGTCATACAAGTTGAACTGTTTGGACCATCAAGTAGAGCCCATATGATAAGTCCCAGAAAGCCTAACAATACCCACTAATTGTAGAATATATCTAGTAGGTCAGGAATTCTTGTGCCCAACCAATGAAATGTTATAATTTGTCCACTGATTGAGAAGTCGAACTCGAGTGGAACCTACCCTAAAATATATTGCTAGTAAAATAACTACTTTTTTTTTTTTGATCGGCAATATAAAAGATACTTTATTAATCAAATTCTAGGTACATAGTACACAGGCAGATATCAATAGAGATGAGTGCGTAATGTATCACAACAAATAAGATCATCCCAACTATGTTGGCATCAAAATACAAACTCGATCTTGTGCTAGCACCAAACCGAGTTGGTGAACAACCAACCAGTAAAAAGCACTCACAATATATTAATATCGGTTGTGTTACATGCATCAATCAGTATACACACTAGTGTACTAACTATAGTGTTATGATATCATTAATGACCCTATTTATTATACAAATTACAAATACTCAAAACCTGTAAAATTATGCTACATCATCTATTGATACACTAGTGTGTATACTAATTAGTACATATAGCATTATTCTATTAATATAGATATAGTTTGTGGGTTATTGCATGCAAGTAGAGTCTGTTCATAAGATATTTATTAAATGTACATTTAGCCTAATCAATTACCATGACTATTCTAAGGGTTTAGAAGGTTATGGATTCAACTCTACCTAAGAGGGAGTTGAATTAGGAGAGGTAAGCACTTGTGCTTTACCTCTGTCGTGGTATGCCAATGTTGTGTGGTGTGTTGGTGGGGGGGGGTTGACTCCGTAGTTCTTAATCTAACAATTAATAATTGATTTTTTTTTACTAAAGTTACAATAATTTGTGATTAAAAAATGCAATTACTCATTTTTGTGATAATAGTACTCATAAAGTATGTAACATACTACAAAAATACGTAACTGTATTGTCAAATCACAAATTGTCATAACTTCAGCAATTGATATTTGATTTCAACATTTTATGTCTGCTGCAGACAATAGGAGTGGCACATCTCGGACTGCTATTATTATTTTTGTTCCCTTGAGTTTGTTATTAGTACTTTGTACCCTTGCCATTGCTTTTTTCCGATTAAGAAAGCCTGAGGATGTGCAAAGTAAGTAAATTTATTCTTTGATGACATTATTATTGAAAGAAAAAATATATTTGACACATTATATTTTTCACCATTTTATATTTGACACTCAAACATTTCACCATTTTGGGTTTTGATATCGCAGAAAGGTTGGATTCTGGTGGCCCCTCCAAAATGGCTTGGACAACAGTCGTATCAAAATTATTTAAGGTTTCAAGACAAGGTGGTTTGCACCATGCTGGTAAGTATTGGAAAATAGAAGAGTAAAATGCTTTCGCTTGCGCTGTAAAAGTAGAATATGATGTTATATATAAAATTTCAACTTTATGATGCAATTGCAAATTTTTGCCATCGCAAAACATGAACATAAAATCTGGGCAATGTATGGATTGAGAGGTTTCTGTTTCCACTTGAACTTTTATGGTTGATTGTTAAAATTGTTGGGTGCACAATGCAAGCTCTTGATACAGTAGGTATCTTTTGACTACATATTATACAATATTGTCTATTTTCGATTAGGTCAAAAGGCTTAGAATGAATTGTATAAACAATAAAGTTGTACATCTCTTTGACAGCTTAAGCATTTAGATGAGTTGATGATCAACAATTTAATATAGTATTAGAGCTCGCAATAGATCTTGTATTTGAATCTCACCGCATACCTAATAATTAAAGTTCTTGCATTTGTTGGACTCACTTACTTTCAACTCATTCAAAAGCTTTAGTTGTTAGAGAAAGTGAGACCTCTATGATTTATATTGTGTCCTCAACCATATTCAAACTCATTATGGTCCCCAGTCACTTCAAAGAGATGCCCCACACCCCTTTCAACTATTATACCCTGCACATTTCTTTTTTAAAATCGTCCTACACATAGATCACCTTTATGAGTAACTTTTTCTCCACATTAACATACCATTCCTACAAAGACATATAGATCACCTTTATTAGTAAATTTTTCTCCACATGTGCAGACCATCCCTACAAAAACATGGGGTTCAGATGTGCAATTCTACAAGTAGAATTAAACACTTATTAAATGCAAAATCTTTAATCAAAATTCATCTTCTCATTTAAATTCTCGATTTACTTTCTTTACTTCTATCAAGATGAGGATGCATCTCAAAGTGTGGATTCCTTGCGATTTGACTTTGCCACAATTAGAGTAGCAACAAATGACTTTTCCAATGCTAATAAGCTCGGACAAGGTGGATTTGGTTGGGTATACAAGGTAATGAAACATTCTTTCCATCCTGTGTTACTTGTGACATAACAAGCGAATCATTCTATATTTTTCATTGGAATATGTTTCAATAAAAAGTTATCGGATAAATCCTTAAGGATCCACATTTCACATTGAACAGGGTAAATTATCAAATGGACAAGAGATTGCTGTAAAACGACTTGGCGATTGTTCTACACAAGGTGAAGTAGAATTTAAGAATGAAATCGTGTTAATGTCCAGGCTCCAACACAAAAATCTTGTTAGGCTTCTTGGGTTTTGCATGGAAGGAAAAGAAAGGCTTCTTATCTATGAGTTTGTGCCCAATGCAAGCCTTGATCGTTTCATTTTTGGTATGATCATATCTCCTACTAATTAAATGTAGCTACGAGATTTTATCTAATGCAAACTCCATTATAAATAGTAGCTATGTTTTCACAACTGCTTCAACTTTATTCACCTGCATTGCCACTTGAGCATTAATTTAATATCTATCATAGTATGACTTATGCATGATGATTACTTTTTATTTGATGACTTTGTAGATCCAATCAAGCGGTTGCTTTTAAATTGGGAAACACGTTACAAAATCATTTTAGGCATTGCACGTGGACTTCTTTATCTTCACGAAGATTCTCAACTCAGGATCATTCACCATGATCTGAAAGGTGGTAATATTTTGTTAGATAGTGCGATGAATCCTAAAATTGCAGATTTTGGTATGGCAAGGCTGTTTGTTGTTGATCAAAGTAGAGGCAATACCAAAAGAATTGCGGGAACCTAGTAAGTACAGATATCATTTTCTACTTAATGAAAATTATATAGTTGAGGTTGATCCGTATCATGTAAAACAAACTAGTAATGAAAACAAACCACAATTAGCTAAGAATACCAAATTTTAAAAGATAATAATAACACTCTGTTAGCATTGTAATCTTAAACAGTTCTATTGGTTATGTCATGCAGTGGGTATATGCCGCCTGAGTACGCAAAGTTTGGGCAATTCTCTGTGAAGACTGATGTCTTTAGCTTTGGTGTCTTAATCCTTGAGATTGTGAGTGGTAAGAAGAATGGTAGTTCAGTCAATGCAGGGAATATAGAGCATCTTCTAAGCTATGTGAGTATGAAAAACTTGTAAATGCATTATTTAATTTTATATGTATAGGAGTACTATGTGATCCAAAAATTATAGGACCTGTATTTGGGTACAACATCACTTGAACCAATTAACCTTTAGTTTCTTGAATCTTCTTTACTTGTTGCAGGCATGGAAAAAATGGCGAGAAGGCAAAGCTTTGAGTTTGATTGACCAAACACTAAGGAGATTGTTAAAATTGTTGGGTGCACAATGCAAGCTCTTGATACAGTAGGTATCTTTTGACTACATATTATACAATATTGTCTATTTTCGATTAGGTCAAAAGGCTTAGAATGAATTGTATAAACAATAATATTGCACATCTCTTTGACAGCTTAAGCATTTAGATGAGTTGATGATCAACAATTTAATATGGTATTAGAGCTGGCAATAGATTTTGTATTCGAATCTCACCGCATACCTGATAATTAAAGTTCTTGCATTTGTTGGACTCACTTACTTTCAACTCATTCAAAAGCTTTAGTTGTTAGACAGAGTGAGACCTCCATGATTTATATTATATCCTCAACCATATTCAAACTCATTATGGTCTGCAGTCACTTCACAGAGATGCCCCACACCCCACACCCCTCCTCCCGGGTTGGTCCTTCTGCAGGAGTTGCTAGATCGCTTGCTGAAGAAGCCGAGTTTGATGCCACCGCAGCCGGTGATGATGATGAGGCT